TTACTTAGCCCCTTCCCGGCGACCCATGACGGGGATATGCTAATGAACGCCCGCCCTTTCAGAGCTAGCCGTGACACATATATGATCGGGAATCAGAGACGTTCCCAGTCAGGTGATCAGCATCATCAACTGTAACATTGCGACCATTGTGAATGCAGGTTGGCGGCTTCCTTTGACAAGATGCCACTGCAGCGCGGAGATGGCGGTGCGCGTCTGTCGAATAATGTAATTGTCAAATACAAATACAGCATTAAAAAGAATAATGCATTGACTAACCCGCTCCAGCATCAGCCTGTATACACCCTTCATCACCAGCCCATATTTCAGCGCTGTGAGGGTTTGACTAACACTGATCCCAACTGAAACGCACATCATCTTTGGAGACGCACCTGAGCGCAGCGGCAGAGGCTGCGAGGGTCCAGGAAGGAGAAGACGTAGAGGGACAGAGCCCGGGGCAGCACCGTGGTGAAGTCCAGAGATTCTCGCGGCACTTTCTCCTGCAGGAGGTTGTTGCAGAATCTGAGCTGTGACATGGAGCCTCGCTCGAACAGATCACAGAGGATCCTCCGTCTCTGGGCACCCGACCACTTATCAAACTGAAAGCAGAAGAAGGTCCCCCCATGATTATTCCTCTTCATGGCATTTCTTAGTGGGGTCACCTACTCTGTGGGGTCACCTACTCTGTGGGGGTCATCTACTCTGCGGGGTCACCTACTCTGTGGGGGTCATCTACTCTGCGGGGTCACCTACTCTGTGGGGGTCATCTACTCTGCGGGGTCACCTACTCTGTGGGGGTCATCTACTCTGCGGGGTCACCTACTCTGTGGGGGTCATCTACTCTGCGGGGTCACCTACTCTGTGGGGGTCATCTACTCTGCGGGGTCACCTACTCTGTGGGGGTCATCTACTCTGCGGGGTCACCTACTCTGTGGGGGTCATCTACTCTGCGGGGTCACCTACTCTGTGGGGGTCATCTACTCTGCGGGGTCACCTACTCTGTGGGGGTCATCTACTCTGCGGGGTCACCTACTCTGTGGGGGTCATCTACTCTGCGGGGTCACCTACTCTGTGGGGGTCATCTACTCTGCGGGGTCACCTACTCTGTGGGGGTCATCTACTCTGCGGGGTCACCTACTCTGTGGGGGTCATCTACTCTGCGGGGTCACCTACTCTGTGGGGGTCATCTACTCTGCGGGGTCACCTACTCTGTGGGGGTCATCTACTCTGCGGGGTCACCTACTCTGTGGGGGTCATCTACTCTGCGGGGTCACCTACTCTGTGGGGGTCATCTACTCTGCGGGGTCACCTACTCTGTGGGGGTCATCTACTCTGCGGGGTCACCTACTCTGTGGGGGTCATCTACTCTGCGGGGTCACCTACTCTGTGGGGGTCATCTACTCTGCGGGGTCACCTACTCTGTGGGGGTCATCTACTCTGCGGGGTCACCTACTCTGTGGGGGTCATCTACTCTGCGGGGTCACCTACTCTGTGGGGGTCATCTACTCTGCGGGGTCACCTACTCTGTGGGGGTCATCTACTCTGCGGGGTCACCTACTCTGTGGGGGTCATCTACTCTGTGGGGTCACCTACTCTGTGGGGTCATCTACTCAGTGGGGTCACCTACTTTGTGGGGGTCATCTACTCTGTGGGGTCACCTACTCTGTGGGGGGCCTCTACTCTGTGGGGTGCACTACTCTGTGGGGGCCAAGGGTCATCTACTCTGTGGGGTCAGCTACTCTGTGGGGGTCATCTACTCTGTGGGGTCACCTACTTTGTGGGGGTCATCTACTCTGGGGGGTCAATTCACTAACCTGAAGGAGACATAACTCAATCTTATCTACATTCACTTTGCTGAGTGAGGTCTCTGTTCCTTTAGCAAATCACCTCCATTGTGGAGTCCCCACGGGGGTTTAGTGCAGCAGTAGGCAATGTCGGCACTCCAACTGTGCTGAAATCACAAATCCCATCATGCCTCCTGAAGTCATGACTGTGGCGAGTCTTGCAATGCCTCATGGGGCTTGAAGTTCCTCAAAAGCTGGAGTGCCGAGGTTGCCTATCTCTGGTTTGAAGAGTATTTCCACCTCTGAGGCATCATAACTTCTCGTACATATAAAACTCAAGACAATTGGTCATTTCGAAAATAATGGGGAAGGGTTAGTGTGGTCCAATAGGGACATTTGAGGTCCAGTGAGGACATATGAGTAACAATTAGGGCATTTGAGGTCCAGTGAGGACATATGAGGAACAATTAGGGCATTTGAGGTCCAGTGAGGACATATGAGGAACAATGAGGGCATTTGAGGTCCAGTGAGGACATATGAGGAACAATGAGGGCATTTGAGGTCCAGTGAGGACATATGAGGAACAATTAGGGCATTTGAGGTCCAGTGAGGACATATGAGGAACAATGAGGGCATTTGAGGTCCAGCTATTGACTCTGCAGACAGTTGGCGACTTCTGCGCACTGTGCGCTTCAGCATGCGCTGACCCCGCTCTGTCATGTGACGCGGCCTACCACTTCCTGGCTGAGTTGCTGTTGTTCCCAGTTGCTTCCACTTTGTTATAATCCCAGTAACAGGCGACCGCGGAATATTTAGTAGCCAGGAAATGTCACGGAACACCTGAATCCAATGATTTGGAGGGGGAGGGGCCCAATACTTTTGGCAATATAGTGTGTGTGTGTGTATATATCTATATAAATATAATGAAGAATCGGGTAATCCTATCAGCAGATTGTGTAGAGAGGAACTTTCTCGATTCTACTATACATGAGTCTAAATTATCGGAGCTGGATTTCGTACAAGATATTCATTTACTGAGGTTGCTCTGAATCCATTGAGGATTCCTTGACTCTCCATTGGTCATTAGTATCTTCCCCAACAATGAAGCTCCAGGTGAAGACGGATTAGCAATGGAAATATTCCAAAATGACATATGAGGAACAATTAGGGCATTTGAGGTCCAGTGAGGACATATGAGGAACAATGAGGGCATTTGAGGTCCAGTGAGGACATATGAGGAACAATTAGGGCATTTGAGGTCCAGTGAGGACATATGAGGAACAATGAGGGCATTTGAGGTCCAGCTATTGACTCTGCAGACAGTTGGCGACTTCTGCGCACTGTGCGCTTCAGCATGCGCTGACCCCGCTCTGTCATGTGACGCGGCCTACCACTTCCTGGCTGAGTTGCTGTTGTTCCCAGTTGCTTCCACTTTGTTATAATCCCAGTAACAGGCGACCGCGGAATATTTAGTAGCCAGGAAATGTCACGGAACACCTGAATCCAATGATTTGGAGGGGGAGGGGCCCAATACTTTTGGCAATATAGTGTGTGTGTGTGTATATATCTATATAAATATAATGAAGAATCGGGTAATCCTATCAGCAGATTGTGTAGAGAGGAACTTTCTCGATTCTACTATACATGAGTCTAAATTATCGGAGCTGGATTTCGTACAAGATATTCATTTACTGAGGTTGCTCTGAATCCATTGAGGATTCCTTGACTCTCCATTGGTCATTAGTATCTTCCCCAACAATGAAGCTCCAGGTGAAGACGGATTAGCAATGGAAATATTCCAAAATGTTTCTGAAGCTG